AAAAAAAAAAAAAAATGCATCAAGGCCGGGTGCAGTAACTCAAGCCTGTAATCCCAGCACTTTCGGAGGCTGAGGCAAGAGGACTACCTGAACCCAGGGGCTCAAGACCAGTCTGGGCAGCTTGGCAAGACCTTGTCTCTACAATAAATCAAAAAATTAGCTGGGTGGCATGCGCCTATAATTTTAGCTACTTGGAAGGCTGAGCTGGAAGGATCGCCTGAGCCCAGCAAATTGAGGCTGCGGTGGCCATGAGTGTGCCACTGGACTCTAGCCTGGGCGACAGAGTGAGACTCCAACTAAAAAAAAAAAAAAAATATAATTCATTGTGTGCTTGTTCTCCTAACTCCTGTCTCGTATGCACACTGTCTGGTAGATTTCTGTGCAAACTGTTCCACCACATTGCAGAAGAAGCAGGACTTGTCATTGTGGGAAGCCTCCCGGATCTTCCCTTGTGCACACACACACAGGACCACATGTCTCAAGCTTCTCAGTGCGTGCCATCATCAGGTATGTGGGAGGTTCTGTTGCACACTCACGCCTCCGTTGTCATTGTACTTCCATCACGTTCTGGAATTTCAAATGCCACTTCAAAATGGTCTTGCGCTCCTTGAACGACAACTGTGCTTCCGCCATTTTCTTTGACTGTCCTGCCTGTGGCATAGGGACGCTGGCATTCACTGGATGTACACTATCTTTTGAGCGACCATCATGCCACACACTGCTGCCGTCATTCAATTCAACTTTGAAAAGTAATAGTAATACTTAGATAGCAGCTATTAAAATGTGTGTTCACTTTTTTGGCACCTCCCCAGTAGACGGGCCTCATGACACTTGGGGCCCCCTCTGAATCCACCCACACACTGACCCTACCACACGTGCCAGGTGGGAATGTCAGTTTCTCCCAGTTACTTTCTTAAAAGACTAAAAATACCCAGCGTCCCCTTCTCCCCTGACTTCAAGTCCTGATCTTTTAAGGCTTCTGATCAAGAGCATGGTAATTAGTAACTTAATCCTGAATAACTTTAGGAAGACCTTCCTGGACATGCCTGGAGGCCTGCAGGTGGTATACCTGTCTTTACTCTCTCTTGGTCTGAGGCTGGATACTTATTAACTAGCCAGAGGCCCAAGCGTTCTTGTTGTTTGTTTACCCTTTAAATCTAAGCCCTCCAGCCCTAACCCCGCCAGTGTTCCGTCCAAAGAGGATGGAAACGGCTACTCCAAGTGCACACAGGTGAGGCCAGGACAGCCCACGCATCCTGCTGGTGTCTTCACATGGATTTTAGCAGCCCGGTGAAGTTACGACTGCAGAGGGCAGGTCCTACTTGTCTCCCCAGCCAATGTACCCCTGCATCTGCGGCCATGGCCTTGGTTTCCCTTGTCTGGGATTATTTTCTTCGACAAATCAGACAACAAAGGCAATAAAGGCCTGGGAGGTCATTCAAAAGACAAATAGGCTGGGTGTGGCGGTTCACACCTGTAATCCCAGCACTTTGGGAAGCCCAGGCAAGAGGATTGCTTGAGCCCAGGAGTTTGAGACAGTCTGGGCAACACAGCGAGACCTCATCTCTACAAAAAACTCAAAAAAGTAGGCCCGGAGTGGTGGTGCACACCTGTATAGTTCCAGCGACTTGGGGGGCTGAGGTGGGAGGATGGTCTAAGCCCAGGAGGTTGAGGCTGCGGTGAGCTGTGATTGCGCCACTGCACTCCAGCCTGGGCAACAGAGCAAGACCCTAACTAAAAATAAATAATCAAATAAATGAAAGAAAAAAAGAAGTATACAAAGTGCTACTGGATGTTTCTCCCCAAGCTCCAGTTAGTCCCTTGCGCTCAACCTACAGTGCTGACCAAGCAGCTTCGGCAGAAATCCAAATACCTGCTTGTGCGACAAACGGATTCTACCAGGGGGGACCCCATACCAACGGCCAGCTCCCTCAGGAAAAGGCACAAGCAAAAACACCGGCACTGGGCAGAGATGCAGACATCGTTACAGAAAACCCGGACAACCCGACACAGGAGAAAAGTAAGGCCAACATGATAATCCAGCAACAGAAAGGAAGGGCCCACCTCTCCTTTGGGCAGGATTTTCTGTTCATCCAGCTTGAAGGCTGTTCCTATTCTTCTCCGAACAATGGGCGGCTCCTCCCCGGGATCCAGCGGGTATTCCACCGGCAGTTTGCCCGTGAGCTCCTGCACATGCGAGACGGCATTCGGAGGGAGGAGAAATCAGTCAGAGCACATGCCTGCTTCCTACACACATACACACACGCGTGTGCACACACACATGCGGGCGCACATGCATGTCAGTGCACAGATTCAACGCCTAGGCTGGAAGCGTTAGCATCGCGCACTGCATCTACATAAGAGTTCATGACATGACACTTCTTTTGTCTGGAAACACAGGGGCGTCGTCGTCCTTTCTGTATAGGACAGACGCATGCTCAAAATGTAAATTTCTGTCAAGTAAATACAACTGCCATTTTAGCTCTCATCGCACAACCTGAATTTCATTCACTCATTCATTAATCTATACAGTGTTCCCACGTGCCTATTCTGTGCCAGGCGGGGGCACCCAGTCAGCGAGCAGCAGAGTTGACAGCAGCTCTTGGGTCTTTCTAACCACAGACCCTGTGCTCTGCTGCCTCCAATATCCCCTCTCAAATATTTCAGTTTATAATTTCCTTCATATGGGTTTTCTTTTCTTTTTCTTTCTTTTTTTTTTTTAAAGATAGGGTCTCACTCTGTTGCCCGGGCTGGAGTGTAGTGGCAAGATCACAACCCACTACAACGTCGACCTCCCGGGCCCAAGGGATCCTCCCGTCTCAGCCTCCCGAGTAGCTGGGACTACAGGCACGTGCCACCACGCCCGGCTAATGTTTTAACTTTTTGTAAGCGAGGAGGTCTCGCTATGTTGTCCAGACTGATGTGAAACTCCTGGGCTCAGGCGACTCTCCCACCTCGCCTCCCCTAAGTGCTGGGATTGCAGATATGAGCCACCATGCCCGGCCCACATGCATTTATTTTTTTTTAAAGAGGAATGGTATCTATGTGGAAAATCCCAGAAAAGTGCATTGACACATAATTTAGAAACTGAATAGAGGTCATTGTTATTTTATTCTGGCCAGACGCTTATATAGGCTATGCTTGAAAGACACTAAGTTATCAAAGTAAGAATTTTAACAGAAACTAAAAATATAATCCATACTATTGAAAACACTACTAGCTGGGCTCGGTGGCTCAGCCTGTAATCCCGCGCCTTTGGGAGGCTGAGGTGAGTGGATTGCCTGAGCCCGCGGGTTGGAGACCCGCCTGGGCAGTGAGACCTCATTTCTACAATAAATCAAAAAATCAGCCGGGCGTGGTAGCGCATGTCTGTAATTCCGGCTACTTGGAAGGCTGAGGCGGAAGGATCGCCGGAGCCCAGCAGGTCAAGGCTGTGGTGGCTGGAAGCGGCCACTGCACTCCAGTCTGGGTGACAGAGTGAGACTCCAACTCAAAAAAAAAAAAAAAAGAAAACACTACTAAAAAAATCTGTTGTGTGTGCATTTTGGGTTCTGGAAATCTAATTGTATGCATGTCAATTGCATGTATGTAAATTGTATGTATGTAAATCTATGTATTCTATGTGAATCTAATGGGTATGAGGACAGTGACTTCCACAGTGACAGTGGTCTTGGGCAAAGGCTGAGGCTCTGAGGGGTGATGGGGATCAGAATTAGGCTCTAGATAAGCATGTTAAATCCAGTCTGCATAAAGATCACATCTGAGTCAGCAGCTAATCTGCATCGTGGAGGCCAGACAGCAGCTGCGGAAGTCACTTCCAGAGCCCAGAAAAGGCTGGGAGGCCCCCAGTGTGTCCCCAGTGGCAACGTGGGCGCTTCAGCATAGCCCAGAGCTGGGTTTCTAGGCCCAAGTCAACGCAGATGCTGCCCTGAGACCCAAAGGCTGCGGTGACAAGGAGCAGAAGTCTCCTCTCGGGACCTTCATCACGAAAAGCTTCTTTGTGGGGCAGTCCAGCCCGGAAAGCCCAAAACACGGGCGAGGGACTCTGCTCCTCCCCTTCGCTGCTGTGTGCTAAGTGCGTGCGTGCGTGCGTGCGTGTGTGTGTGTGTGTGTGTGTGTGTGTTTGTGCGCGCGCGCGCGCACGCGTGTATGACTATGAACACAAGCACACACATGCCTGGCTTTCCTGGGCCACCTCTCTTCTGTGCTGAGATCACCGGGAAATGACCCCTTGGGCTTTTTATTTCTCAATGTAAGCATTTCAGAGCACAATGGCTATTTGAGTATGAAACACTCGACAGTTTTCTTCATTTTTGTCTTTCTTTCTTTCTTTCATATAAAAAAAATGTGGTTCAGATGTCTCCAAAGCAGTCATGTGCTTACTCCACAACTTTTACATCTGCTTCCCTAAAAGTCTATAACCGACACAACCAATTGAGGGTTTTTTTTACTGTCAGGATTTTATTAGTAAAAATTTTTTTTTAACCTAGGGACTTATAAAAAGGAGGGGAAAGTTGTTAAAATTGCCACGGATTTATAACTCAAAAGTGTGTGTGGCTTTAACATTGCTTTTAAAAAAACGAGGCTACTGATTTTTCACCAGGCGCTTGGAGGTATTGGAGTTGAGGTCTTGATTCTCCAGAAATTTAATCTGATTTCATAGGTAACCAGAGCCGCTTGGCGAAGGAGTAATTCGAGGCTCTACCGTGGGGGCTCCCCTTGGCCCCTCGCTGTATCCTGCCAAATGCTCTCATTCTACTTCATGCTGGCTGCCTCGCTCCCCAGGGGTCAAGCAGTGCTTCTTGACACTCCGAGCCACGGGGAGAGAGGTTTGTGAGCAGCGTGGAGTTAGCAAGAAGAACTCCCCCCAGCCCCTGGCCATTGATGCAGCCGGAGACTATGGTGGAAGTAACATCGGGAGAAATCAGACTGTGGTGGGAACTTCTTGTCGGGCTGTTTCTTCCACTCAAGTCAGGCTTTCTGGGGTCAACATGATCAGAAACGGGAGACTTGCTTTTGTTTGTAAGAGAGACAGTGAGACTTTTTCATAACGCACGCTAACCTTGCCCTGACACGTTTCTTGCATTTTCTAATGTGGAGTCCCTGCTGGGTGTAGGGACTTTTCCTTTATTAAAAACAAAACAAGGCTTTACCAATTATTAAAGGCAGACAGCAAAACCCACATTTTTTGGTTCGGTCCTCCAAGCACAGGCTTTAGAAAAATGTCGCTAATATTAACCGTATCACATAGCGCATTTTCCAGCCGGGCCAATTGCTTTCCTAAGATTTGCAATGGATTTGTGCTGATGTGGTCGTGCTTCGAGCAGGCTCTGGTTAAATCAATCCAGGCCGTAATTAAGCCACATAGAAATGTAACATGATCTCCCTCCACGGCCCCCTGGTTCATTCTTCCCACTGTAGGACATTATTATTTGGAGGGGAGGGAAGCACGTCCCTTCCACTCCATTTGGGAACCTCTTTCTACTTCTCATTCTGAACTGTTGGCCACAGAGTTCTTTGTAATGTCACAGGAGCACACTGTCCTGGGAGAGCTCCCCCCACACTGTGCCCATATGTGAGCACAAACACGTGTATACACACACACACATGCATAGTCATGTGTGTTATGTTAAAAGATGGAGCCTCTGAGGCTGAGCGGGGTGGCCTGTAATCTCAGCACTTTGGGAGGCCGAGGCAGAAGGATTGTTGGAGCTCAAGAGTTCAGGAGCAGCCTGCGTAACTTAGCAAGATCATGTCTCCACCAAAACAATAATAATAGTAGTTAGCCAGGCGTGGTGGTGCACACCTATAGTCCCAGCTACTTGGGAGGCTGAGGCGGAAGGACTGTTTGTGCCTGGGAGATCAAGGCTGTGGGGAGTCGTGGTCAGGCCACTGCACTCCAACTTGGGCGACAGAGTAAAACCTGGACTCCAAAACAAAGAGGCCTCCAGACATCATTACCAGTCACGGAATAAACAGGAGAAGGTGGAAGTGGACATTTAAATAAGTATAGACTGGTCTGCTGCAGTGTCTGGGAGACGTGAATACACAGGCTCAAGGAGGCATACCTTGCATAAAATTTAAAAATATCACTGGGCTGGGCTCCCATTTTTAAAAATAAAAGAGTTAAAGGAACACCCAATCATGAGGTGTAAAAGGGCTTCTATGTCAAGTGAAATCCTGCCTTCCTTGCAGACCACCAGTGCTTCTTGATAGGGTGCCCAAAGACAAATGTGGAATGTCTTCGAGAGAAATAAAAGCTCCCATAGCAGTAAACACAAACACAAACTCTGGCGAAGACAGCAGCAAGCCATTCTCCTCAATGGGGTAACATCATTTGAGGCAACGCTTTATAAACTACTGTGATGATGACTTGTCACACTTGGCCTCCAGTGCCGTCGTCTTGAGAATGTTGCCAACACCAGCTTTAACTGGTTTTCACAGTGTTTCATCAACGTCCGTAAATTCGGTTTCTGGCAAAGTATGATAGAGAAGCTTGGATGTTTCTGCCGTGTGTGTGTGTGTGTGTGTGTGTGTGTGTGTGTGTTGTGTTGGAGTCTCACTCTGTTGCCCAGGCTGGAGTGCAGTGGCATGATCACAGCTCACCACAGCCTTGCCCTCCTGGGTTCAGGAAATGTTTCCATCTCAGCCTCCCAAGCAGCTGGAACTATAGGTGTGCACCACCATGCCTGGCTAATTTTTGATTTTTTGTAGAGACGAGGTCTTGCTATGTTGCCCAGGCTGCTCTCAAACTCCTGGGCTCAAGCGATCCTCCTGCCTCGGCCTCCCAAAGTGCTAGGATTACAAGCAGGAGCCACCACGCCCAGCTCTACCATTGGTGTTTCAGAAGAGTTCCCGGGTAAGCGCCCCCCCCCCCCCCCCCCATTGCCCTCTGTCAATATGTTAAGATCGTTGATGTCACAGACAACACAGGTTTTCACAGGACGAGACAGGAACGACTTACAGCTTCTCGGAGACACAGTTTCTTCAGTTCTTCCAGCCTCTGACGAAGTGTTTCCTCCAGAGCTTCCTGCCTGGATTTCAAGGCGGCCAGCATGTCCTTCTTGGCCGACTGCGAGCTGTCTGATTCCTGAGAACCTGTCAATACACAGTGGGGTTACTAGGTCAGCTGATGGGGGACACACATCTGGACCACTAATGACTTTAACCGGAGTCCACGCCGTAGAGATGGGATTCAGCCCAGGAATCAAGGGAGTGTGAAACAAAACAGGTGCTCAGAGCTCTAAGTGTGAAGAGTGAATTCCAGCACTGCCTGGAATTTATAGCTCCTCAGAAGGACCGGCAGGGGAACGGACACTCCTGAAAAAGCAGCTTGTCTTGTTTGATTATCTTAAAATATGCCAGGTATCTGTTTTAATTTCACTGACAAATGTTAATAGATTTTACACAACAAAGGGAGAAGTCATGCTCAAGTCAGTAATTGTAGTATTTTCATTTTCTTTGGTTCATTTAAAAATGATTATTATAATATTTTGCTTAGTGCAAAGATAAGACATATTTATCATAAAAACTTTGAAAGTGTAGACAGGTATAAAATAGTCCATTAAGTGGTCACTCAGAGACAACCACTGCTGTGTGTTTTCTTTTGACCCTTTCTGTCCTAAGAAAATGTATTTAAAAAATAAAATTAGAATTTTGTTGTAATTTTTTTTACAAGTTGGAGTCTCATTCCTTCGCCCAGGCTGAAGTGCAGTGGCACATTCACTGCCATCCCAGCGCTGACCTGCTGGGCTCCGGTGATCCTTCTGCCTCAGCCTTCCAAGTAGCTGGAACTACAGACGTGCGCCACCATGCCCGGCTAATTTTTTGGTTTATTGTAGAGACAAATTCTCACCAAGTTGCCCAGGCTGGTCTCGAACCCATGGGCTCAGGCAATCCACTTGCCTCAGCCTCCCAAAGTGTTGGGATGACAGGCAGAGTCACCGAGCCCGGCCAGGATTTTGTTGTGTTTTTAACTTCATACAGTCTCATGAGCAAATTCCCTCCTGGTAACAGCGACGCGAGTTTTTACAAGCTTTCCTGGAGACCGTATCTGCGTGATGGTTCAAATAGCAGAGAGCTAGCTCTGATAACTTTGTTGATGGCAAATTGTGAACAAACAAAAGGGAAAGTGGCCGAAATGCCAACGAGGGGGACCTGGGTTAGACCAAAAGAATATTCTGAACTAGGGCTCCTGCAGTGACGCTATTATGCTTTTTCTACCTTGATGGGTTACAAAAGGTGCAGTGACTCCCCAGAAAGGGAAAAGCTGATTATTCCTTTTCTTTTCATGCCCGTGGCGAGCAGATGTATTAGGAATGGACAGGCGTTACTGGGTGCGCAGCCGAGGGGCTCGCCCCATGCCATTGAGAACAGCATCAAACAACCTCACATACCTGGAGAGATTAACTTAATTAAGGACGGACAAGATCTCTACCATGGACAGGATCTCCCCGCTGAGAAAATGAGAGATGTAAATAAACAGAGCCGTGAACATGGATGCAAAGGTTCGTGCTGTAAAGGCGGCATCACTCTTCATGAATGACACAATCGAATCCCAAGAAAAACTCCAGCAGGCCTTTTTTTGCGGGGAAAGAGTAGAAACTGCATTTCCCGATGAAACAACTGAATTTTTGGACGATTCTGTAAATGGATGACAGATATAAGAATAAGCCTGCTGGGTGTGGTGGCTCACGCTGGTCATCTCAGCACTTTGGGGGGCAGAGATGAGAGGATTGCCTGAGTCCAGGGTTTTGGGACCAACCTGGGCAACTTAGTGAGACTTCGTCTCTACAGTAAATAAAAAAATTAGCCAGGCGTGGTGGCGCACACCTGTAGTACCAGCTACTTGGAAGGTTGGGGTGGAAACATTGCCTATGCCCCTCAGGTCAAGGTTGTGGTGGCCATGCAAAATAAATAAATAAACAAGTAAGAAAAATCCAACTAGAATTCCCAGAGTCAATGTTCTGTTTCTTCCAGTGGTAACAAGAGCATTTCAGAATCATAAGACTGGAAAGAACTTCCATGCTTTTGAATAAAACAACTCTGCTATCCCCATACTGTCCCCATAAATATATTATTTTACTCTTTTATTGAAAGTCTCTGAGCAGGAAACCCTGTATTCCCTCAATTACAGCAAGGCTCTTATGACCTGAATAACCAAGAACTCTCAATGTCAAAGAACACTTTAAAATTAATTAATTAATACTTAATTTTAATTAATTAAAGATTAGCATATGTATATATACTTGGCATTTGTGTTTATTTATTTTTTAGAAAAAGGGTCTTGCTCTGTTGCCCAGGCTGGTGTGCAGCGGTGCAACCATAGCTCACTGCAGCCTCGAACTCCTGGATTCAAGTGATCCTTCTGCTTCAGCCTCCCGAGTAGCTGGGACTCCAGGCACGCACCATGATGTCCCGCGAATTTTGAAAGTTTTTTTTTGTAGAGACAGGATCAGGCTGGTGTCAGGCGCCTGGCTTTAAGAGATCCTCCTATCTTGGCCTCCCTGAATGCTAGGATTACAGGCGTGAACCGCCGTGCCCGGCCTCAGGGTCTAAGAACATTTTGATGCTGAATTGGTCTTTGTTCTTTCCTTCTCCTACCCCTATTTGAGAGCTTGAAATAGAGAATATATCTGTCGCTGCAGGAACATGCTATTTTTATGCCTCCTCAGTCACTAATAAATATTAGCTTGAATGAACAAACAAATAAATGTGGTCAGTCATATACTTGGATGTTGTAATGCAGTTGTGTCTCATCTTGGTAAAAGTATCTGGGGCCTGTAAGTTGTTGCATTATAGAATCTACCTTCCAACCTTTAAATCATGTATGTAGCTCTTGCCTGGGTTTTGATATGCTTCGGTTGGAGGTTTCCAAATGCAACGGCAAACTCACACAGATGCTTGATCTGTACTGAGATTCCATGACCTCATGGCTCTCAAATACTAAATCACTGAATATTACTGTAGTCTCCCCTTTTTGAAATGGTTTGGGTTTTCTGCCTCCATAAATCAATTTCCCTGTCTTTTCAGCACTAAATTATCTCCCATCTAAATCCATCTAAAGCAACATGGCTAAATCATTTTAATTCTTAATCTGGTTCTCTTAGTAAGAGTCACCAATCACACTTGAAGATACAGGAAAATTAACGAGGTGCTCTCTGTTTCATCATCGAAATAGTTCATAAGAATGTAAAACAGGCCAGGTGCGGTGGCTCATGCCTGTAATCCCAGCACTTTAGGAGGCTGGGGTGGGAGAATCGCTTGAGTCCAGGAGTTCGAGACCAGCCTGGACAATGTAGAGACCTTGTCTCGACAAAAAATAATTTTTAAAAATTAGCTGGGCATGGTGGCACATGGCTGTAGTCTCAGCTACTTGGGAGGCTGAGACAGAAGGCATGCCCGAGCCCAGGAGGTTTAGGCTGCAGTGAGCTGTCATCGTGTCACTGCACTCCAGCCTGGACAACAGAGTGAGATCCTGTCTCAAAAAAAAAAAAGAATGAAACAATACTGAAAGGAAGTCAGACTTCAGATTTAAAAAACGGGTCTGGGGAAACCTGGGTCCAAGAAGATTAAAAGTTCTAGCTTGTGAAAAATTCATTGTTTTCCCTTTCACCTCTGCCTAACCTCTCCACGGCAAATGATGATTTATTAAGTCAAATCTAAGAATTAACTACGTTCAAGAATGGCAAAAAATCACAACAGTATGAGACTCTGGGAGGGTAAAGCCCGCAGTTTTTGGAAGACTGGGTCTCGGGTTATGGAATTAGTTAAGAGCTGGCCTCGAGTTACAGGGCTCGTTAATGCTACCTAAATTATTACTATTTATAATAATTAGCCTAAATACCAAACCCACACAAGACAGGTGAGAGCGTTTTGGCAGGCTGGATGGCTCAAGTGCCCCTCTCCATATCTGGCACCACCAATGCTGGCTGGCTCTGTGTCTCACCACGGACCTAGGAGTCACTTGTGGGGGCGGCTGGCAGTATGGCATCTGGGCACTGAATTAAATTTCTGCAAAGTCACTGAGCCAGCTAGCTTTGGACATACAGATTGTCCTTTTCTTTTGTTTTTTAAATCTCTTTTGAGAGGCAGGGTCTCAGTTTGTCGTCCAGGCTGGAGTGCAGTGGCAGGGATCGTAGCTCACGACAGCCTCAAATTCCTGGACTCAGAGGTTCTCCTCCTGCCTCAGTCTCCCAAGTAGCTGAGACTACAGGCGCATGCCTGGCTAATTTTTCTATTTTTTTTTAAAAGAGACAAGGTCTTGCTTTGTTGCCCAGGCTGGTCTTGAACTCCTGAACTCAAGCAATCCTCTTGCCTTGCCCTCCCAAAGTACTGGGATTACAGGCTTGAGCCCCTGTGCCTGGCTGAGTATTTTCTTTCTTTCCTTTCTTTCTTTCTTTCTTTCTTTCTTTCTTTCTTTCTTTCTCTCTCTCTCTCTCTCTCTCTCTCTCTCTCTCTCTCTCTTTCTTTCTTTCTTTGTCTTTCTTTTCTTTCTTTTTTTCTGTCTCTCTCTTTCTTTTCTTTCCTTCCTTCCTTTCTTTCTTTTTTTGAGTCAGAGTCTCACTCTGTCGCCCAGGCTGGAGTGCAGTGGCACGCTCACTGCCACCGCACCCTAGACCTGCTGGGTTCAGGCGATCCTTCTGCCTCAGCCTTCCAAGTAGCTGGGACTACAGGCATGCGCCACCACACCCAGCTAATGTTTTGATTTATTTTAGAGTCGAGGTCTCACCAAGTTGGCCAGGCTGGTCTCAAACCCATGAGCTCAGGCAATCCTCTCACCTCGGCCTCCCAGACTACATTTCCTGAGTCCCAGGGTTTGCCAATACGCTTTTGGGGCAGCTGGGGATGGTGGGGACAGGGTCAAGGAGATCCCGTGCGTTCTGGTGGCCTCCTCTCCACACCCTTCAAGCAGAGCAGCTTCATGTGGTTAAAGCAGTTAACCTGTTGCAGGCATTCAGGTTGTCCTATTGTAACGAAAAGCGGTTCCCGTGGCCTATTTTTCTTCCCAGGAAACCCACTCTTCTGGGGCAAGGGCTCTGATTTCACCCTGCTCCATCTCAGCGCTTGTGAGATCTGAGCTTGTGGGCTGTCACCTG